AGCCCTTTGCTGTTAGCCAACCTGTTAGCGCTGGCTGGCAGCCAGAATAGCCTAGAGCGCTGCTGTTAGCTGCTAGCTTTAGCTCTGTGTGAGGGACTACCTGGCCACCCCGCTCTTGTATCCTGCTGCAAATCTGGCTAGCGTGTTAGCATGTGGCCAGCCGCTGAGGAAACAACCAAACGTGGAAAGGGGAGGTGACGGAAAAAAAGAATTGTGCAGTTGGTTTTCAGGAGTGTGTGTGCACTTGCTTGTGCAAGAATGTGTGTGTGTTTTTTCTTCAGCTTTCCTCTGACCTCATTCTCTTTTACCGAAGCTAATGCACGTCAGCCCAGAAATGCCACGCAGATATCCCTCCTATCTCTCGTCCTCTCATTTTGCCTTCTGTCATTCTTTCAGTCAGGAGAGTGGAGGATATTTCAGAAGACATCTGAAACATATAGGGTAAAATACTAAAATACTATAATTATATGATACTTTAGTCATATGAATGTTTAAGCCTGTCGATCAGTTTTTGAAAAATACATTTATGTTTAATCCAAAACTTCAAATCAAATGTCATTGATTCATTTTCCTTAGCACTTCACTGATCAAATTATACTATCTCAAGTCTTCAGAGGGAGCTTGTAAAAATGTAGATCTCAATTAGCAAATAAAAAAGAGAAAGACTAAATAATCGTAATATTAAACGTTTTGCTGTGCATTGCAGTGACGCAGAGACTTTGTTTCTGACGATATTTGAACCACATTTAGGGTGATCGTGCTCTTTGAATCAACATGTCTCAGCGTGAACAAGGAACCCTTATTAGTTAAATATCTGCTTGCATGAAAAGATAAAGCGGAGGGTGCTTTAGTGGCAGATATATAGGAGGCGCAGGCTGTGGTGGAAACTCTGCCCTGAAACTATGATTATACAAGAACACCTTGTCTCTCCAAGTCACAGTTGCAGATTAATAATGCAACCTGTGTTAACTTATTTCTTTTTCTTTCCTTTGCTGCTTCGCTGTGTCTTATTTATTTATCTTGTGTTGCATTTCTCTCTGCTCAGTGTTCCTGTATTGCCTCGCTCACTTGTAAAACCTAAGAAGTGATTAATGGAGACATGAAGGCCCAGCTGAGCTGATAGCTGGGTTTGTTCTGGGGTATGGGGTTAAAGCAGATTCCCCCGGGGCCAGTGTCACAGTTTATTTTGTGGCGGAGCCTTTGCCAGCTCTCAGTGTGAAAGTATGAGAATATGGGTGTGTAAGTGTTTACGAAATTATGATCTGTCTTTGTATGTCAGCGTTCTTGTCCCTGTCAAAGCACAGAAATGAAAAACTGTTTTTTGATGCTTTTAAGAGACAAACCCTGGAGCTGCTGCACTGACAGTAAATAGGACATTGTGTGAACACAATGGTACCAACCAGGGCACATGTTTCTTAGTTTGTGACTGTCAATTAAAAAAGAAATAAAGTATAACCCAGTGTAACAGCTAAACTAAATATTTTATCAATCCACGCAGCCTCTCATTGTCAACAGAGGCTCCTCTAAATTCTGTTTCCTGATTACCAAACAGGTTACAGCTCCAACTCCTCAGATTTCTGCCTCAGTTAGGGTGTCTCCTTTGCTCACAAATATTGATTGAACTATCAAAGATTATAGAAATAACCGATGTGGATTCTATTTCAGGGTGAAAACTTTAATGTTTCCCGAGGCTGAACCTGCCACTAGTTACCAGGTATAACCAGAGGGGGGAAAGACAGCGTGCCGAGAGTAGGTGAAAGACAGATAATTCAAGAGTCAGATGAAAGCAGATAGATGATGGAGTGTAGATACTAGTACAGACAATTTTTTCCCTCAACCCCCTCCCTCCCTCTCTATCCTCCCCACACTTTCCCTCCCACCCTTATTCCCTCAGTTCTTTGCCTAATAAGCAGCGTTCCTGTGAGCTGATGCAAGGCGGAGGAAACAGAACAGGCGTTCTGGGACCGCTGGAAATATTCCCACATGAGGCATAACATGATAAAGACTTATTATCTCACTAAGCTGCTGTAAACACAGATGCACACATAAATACACACTGTACACAACTCCTGCTCGCACACAAACACACACACACACACACACACACACACCCATTCACAGAAAGTCAAAGTGGTCTGGCTTTGCAGTTCTGACGAGCAGTGACCAGGAGGAATCTGACAGAGCCAATCCCTCCAACAAAGCCTGAGAGTCAGCCGCGATGAGCCAGCTCACTGGGCATTTGGCTCGGCCTGTTTGAACTCCACACACCCTGAGCAGTGGGAAGGAACAGAGGGAGAGTTGCGATTATTATTAGTGCTAAATTTTCGGGAACATCTGAACAAGCGTACGTGTTGAAACAGGAGCCATCCCAGCTCCGCTCCGCTCGTCAATCACACCAGACACACACATAAACACATGCACCTAGCATGTGCTGTGAGCTAATCCATTACAGTACAAAGGCAGGTGTCAGCCTCTTACACACACACACACACACACGAGTCATCAGAAACATGTTGAGTCCCATTTCCCTTCTTGTCTTCTCCATCCCAATTAAAAGGCAAAGGAGGTCTTTTATTTCCCGCTCCTCCAAACACATTCTTTATCTCTCTGATCTGCGCTCCTCCTCCCTCCCTCGCCTGGTCCCCTTGGGGTAGTGGGAATGTCTCTCCCCACACTCTCTCAGGTCAGGGGTTCAGATGGAGGGGGTCTGAGCATGTAGAGAGATGGAGGGAGGGAGAAAGAGACACACAGGAGGAGTGAGTGGCAGGTTGAGGCAGGTCTCATGCACGGGCAGCTACCAGAAACACTTAAACTTAAAGCATTGTGTATATGTGTATTATAGCCCTAATCAGAGACTTCAGGGTAGATTTATGCCCCTGCCTTTTTCCCGACCTCCATTACACCAGCTTATATACACCCATTACAGGATATGACAAAGTACACACCCTTTAGAGGAGCATACCACATTGACTGTGTGACTGTTTGAAAAAAAAAAGCGCATGCGCTCAAGTCTTAACACACTCCCCACCTTCCCATTAGGTCCTTGTCCACCTGCAAGCTCTGTCTTTCTGTCCCTCTTTATCTCCCCTCCCCTCATTGCTAATAAGGTCAATGAGGAAGAGTAAGAAGCAGATGGGTGTACAGTACATTACAGCTCAGCGCTATAGAGTGGGCTAGGTATAGCAGGCTGGTGATTCATGCTTAGTGAGACGTGTTATGATGTGAGGAGTTTCTACTGCAGTACAAAGTCAGTGGACTGTGCAGAGGGATATGTTGATCGCCCAGCACGATGCCTTGCTTCATAATATTACCTCAGGGAGCAGTTTGACCTAGGAGAGGTCTGGATGGAGGTGGGAGGAGACAGAAGGAGTGGAAGGAGTGTCGGGAAGAGAAGTGAGGTTGGAGATTAAGTGACTATAGCTTCAAGTGTGACGATGAAGCTCCACTTCTCCGTCTCAACTTCGCAGGCAGATGGGTGCCAGGAGGGAGAGAGGGGAGAGTCAATGGGGAGGAAAAATACTTCAGTGTGATATGTGCTTTTAAACTGTCCACTAGCACCTAGTGTGTTAGTTCACCCAAAATGATAAAACACATTAAACAAAAACTGTCTCAGCACAAGGTCCACACAATAGCCAGTGTGGGGTTTTAATGCCTTAGCTGTGGTAACAGCTAAGGCATTATTTGTAGTCCCAAATAATTGTGATCAAAATTTGGCTTGTGCTCCTCAATACATTGAAAAATTAGATTTAAAACATTTAACAGCAATATGTATATGTATGTAATATATATCAGAAAAAAATGTTTTCCAGGCTAAGCCATAGGCCTCACTGATTTCCAAGCAGTGGCCATTTTTTTGAAAAAAGACAAATTGGTGTAGGAGTTTTAAAATGTCTTATTCTTTTCTCTTTGTATTGGCACAAAAAGATTATATTCATCTACATTGTGTTGAGGCAAAAGCAGAAGATTCAGTGATTCCTCAGAGGAAAAGAAAAAGTTTCTCCCAAAAGATTCTCCCATGAAATGCCTTTTATTGTTTCCCCAGAAGGCCTGGGTTGTACGCCTCTGAAAAACATCCACACACACAGTTGCACACAGACGGTGGGTAGAGTGCCTCGATGGCGTTTTGTGTACCTACTTTGGGTTGCTGAAATAAAAGCAATGGAACTTTCCCCTTTAAAACTATGCGCCTGTGTGTTAATTTCTAAAACTGGATGAGGCAGAAAGACGAGATTGAGCTTGTCATTAGGAGTTCACAGCCTGCGTGCTTGCATGAAGGTTTGTTTTGTTTTGTATTAGCTGCCTTGTGTGTGTTCTGCACGCGGATGTGTGTGTCTCTGTGTCTCCTCTCCCACGCTTCGACTCCTAACGATGGCAAATGTGCCTGTGTGTTTGCACGGCGTTGTTTCTCAAAAACAACAACACATCCAGGAACGGCTCGTTTTGTCAGGTTTTTGCACAGGGAACATGCTCTAATTAGAGAGGCCCTATGAAGATGCATCAAACAGATCTTTTCTCAAAGGCCAACCTGCTCATGGCTCACACACAGCGTGCGCACATGCCACCTCTGATTATTGGAGAAATGTGTGTGTTATTTAACTATATAGCAGAGTATTAACTGCCTTGTCAGTTTAGATTTGCTGCACGTCTGATCCAAATCTATGGATACGCTCCTAGACACACATTTACATGCAGGGGGGGAAAAAAGTGTCAGCCTCAGGTGTTGCTTTGTGGCCACTGGGGCATGTTTGTGTGCTGGTGCCTCACAATGAAGAGTCCTTTTCACAGCGCACATGCACACACACGTACACAAACACACACAATTCACTTTTCTCTCACAGCGTGTGTTGACTTTAGTTTCCTGCCTTGTTTGTTCACTCAGATGGGAGCAAGGCTTTCTACTCAAACTGCCCAGGTCACTTTTGTTCAATCGCTGTGTTGTTTTTTGCACCATCCACCACCACCTCCCACTGACCCTCCCACCCCTCTGCTGCTCTCAGGTGCCAGTGATGATGGTGGAATCGGCCTCTGAGACAATTCGAACAACACCGTCCAACCAGAACGGAGTCAGCAGCCTCAGCAGCCAATCAGACGGAGGAGGAGGTAGAGAGGGCGGGTCTAATGGAGACACCAACGGAGAGATCAGTCCAGTCGACTTACTGCACCTGCAGCAACAACAGGTGTGTGTGTGTGTGTGTGTGTGTGTGTGTGTGTGTGTGTGTGTGTGTGTGTGTGTG